CAAAAAGGGTACCGTCAAGACAAGGCCCACAGGAGTTGATGAAACACAAGGAAACCCACACAAGGCCAACATCGACCAGCAGGACAAACAGCTTCCACATTCCTAGCGCCCGCACAAAAAACAAAAGAAGTCCAGTAGATTGCGCTACTTACTCCTCTCAAGCAAGCTCATTACTTGGGCAACGTTGGGCCAACCCCTACATGCACAAACCACCACTCGAAACAACATCGGATTGGTTTTCCTGTAAAGGAACCAGGGCTTGGTTGGTTGAGGTGTTTGTTTTGCCCGAGCCCTCAGCAGAAGGCCTTCCTCCTGCGCCTCTAAGGAGGTTGGCTGGGAACTCTTGCTTCACTCTCAGGTTGGGGGCAGCAGGCGTTATTCTCTGGAAGCCTTGCTTGCCCCGGCCTCGCCACTTGGGGCCGGTTTTGGGTGAGTGTTGGATTTGCTGAGTACCGAGGGCGGCACAAGCTTCCATGTTTCAACCTTCTAAGCCGACATCCTTTGGCTTGGCCTTGAAGGTAACCTCACATGCCCAGTGGCCAGGGGAAAAAAAGGGCATCCTGTTTTGGTTGGTGGAGTTTAAAGCGAACCCTTCCCCCCCAAAAAAAGACAAAAGGGCCTGGTTCCTGGGCCCCAGCTCTTCCACTCGCAAGCTTCGAGTTTCAAACAGGGCCGGCGGTGCAGAGGGCCAGCACAAACCACGCCAGCGCGAGCCCGGCGATGCTGTACCGGCCCAGGCAGAAGCGGCGAGGCGGACTCGGCCGTCTTCTGCCTGGCAAAAGGCTTCCCCAACATGTCTGCCTACGGCAACCCCCGACCCAACCAAACCCACAAGCCCAATTAAGCGTCCATTTACAGTCCTGCCTCCTAAAGGCCCGCCATGTTCCTGGCTCCAACTGTCTCCTGCCCTCGCGTGGGCATGTTGAAACATTTGCCTGCGGGTCATTGGTTTCTCTCCAATTTGGTGGCCAAAAAGACCTTCTGGGTCCAGAGTGAGCATGGGGAGGTTCCCAAACTTACACAAGGGAGTCACTAACACGAAGTCCAACAAGGGCCTGGGGGCTGCGGAGACTCGCTCTGCTGCGTCTGCGTCTCCGTATCGTGGAGGTGTCTTGCCGGCGAGGCCGCCGACGTGGTGGGCCTCCAGCCGCGTTGGAAGGTGCAAGGATGGGTTTGCGGCAGGCAACATGCACAAACTGCGCACCCTCAGGCTTGTCAAGAACATGGCGCATTTTGAAGCCGCGCAGAATGAGTCGCTGCTTCAATGAATAGCTTTACATTGAGGGAGCGCTGCAAAAAAGCTGCCTATATAACTTTGGTTCGCAGAAGGCGAGCGTGTAAAGCCGTGGCAGGTACGGACCATCCACGTGTCAGGCGCACCCTGACTGAGCAAGCTCCCAACATAGGCCAGCGCTGGTACCCTGCTAATGCTAATGAATCCAGGTACCTGTGCGGTGGAGCTCTGCTTTTTTGTTGGCCCCATTTCCAGCCTTGTGCCCCGTGGCACCTGCGGCCTTTTTTTGCTGGCCAGGCCACAGGAGGTACCACAGCTCGTACCACAGCTCGGTTATTGACAAACAGCCCTCGCCGCCGACCCCAAACATTTTGGCCCGCAAAACCCAATCAATTTCAGCTTCGCCGCAGTGTGCCCGAACGGCAATAGATATCTCTCTAAATATTTATGTTGTTATTTCTTCCTTCGTTTCTTTCTTTCTTTCTTTCTTTCTTTCTTTCTTTCTTTCTTTCTTTCTTTCTTCTTTCTTTCTCTTGTTTCTTCCTTCAAGTCTTTCTTCTGTCTCTCTCTCTCTCTCCCTCTCTCTCTCTCTCTCTGTCTCTGTCTTTCTGTCGCTAGTGCCACTTAGCTTAACACTCAAAGCAATATGGAAGAGCACAAACCAATATCCTGCCAACATTGTCAAACATTTGTGCGTTGCTTACCAAGGTTCCTCAGGCCCAGTTCTGGCCGGCAACACTTTTTGTCCAGGGATGGGAATTTTCGGCCATGTTGCCCAAGGGGTTCCTTTGTGCCCCTAGCCCCCAGAGATACAGCGAAGTCGCCCCAGGCTGGAGGCCAAATAGTACATGAAACCCAGATGCGAAGGGTACCCTCAACAAAAGCACAAACACAAAAACAACCACACACACAAACACAGAGACACAGACCAGGTCCTCCAGCTAGAGAGGTTAGAATAAGGGTCCCTTTTTTCTCTAGTCTATTTTAGTAGGGGAACCCTCCCAAACAAAAAAGTTGGGTGAGAAAGGGCACTAATTACGGGGACCTAGCAAAGGTTCGGCTTGTCTCCCTCGGTGCAAACCGCCGGTTAAACCCTTGGGCCCCGCGCGTCCGTGGCGATTGCCTGGGGGAAGGCCCGTGCGGCGATGGGTGGGACTCCGCATCCACGGCGTCCACCTCCGCCTCCGGCTCGCGGTCCGCCTGAGATCCGCAGAGAGGTCGGAGCACGGGGGGCGTCCGGTGGCTCCTTAACAAGGCGAGGTTTCCCCCGGTAGAGTCCCCTTCGACCAAAGGGTCTGTCACCACACTTGGGTGCCAAGAGAGAAATGGCCATCAAAAGCCAAATCGGTTAGCCCCCAGTGAACATCCCAATCCAACCACTAAAATAGGTTCGAAAATGGGTGGTGAATTCACCTACCAACCAAAATGGGATCCTACTGGTTTTGACCCGCAGCCAACTGGGTGAAGCTGTTTGGAATTTGCAGGAAACGCAGCCATGCCGTGAATGCCTCCGTCGAAACACGTGGAAGAGTGCCTACGAGGGCGGGCCGAGTTTGTCAGTGCGCCGCGGGCGCCTGCGCGCACTTGTTTGAGAGCTACTCTTTGGACTGGGCAACACATGCCTACGCGAACCTGCCGATTCATCTTGATGGAATACGCGGAATGTCTATGCAATCCTACCCCCCCCCCCCCAGGTTTGCTTGCGCAGAGCATCCGCACTCCACACAGAATACTAAACAACTACACGGCGAAAGGATACATAGTATCCCAAATCACCAACACAATTGCACAAATGGATAACTTTCCCCAATGAAAGTTGGAAACAAAGTTGGTATGTAACCATTTTTTCAGTTTCTACAGGGGGCTGTCTCCAAATGGGGGGAACTTCGAAACTTTCTCTGGTTGACTGCTGTGACAAATGTGTGTGTGTGTGTTTGGAGTTGGTACCCTTTTGGGGTTGCTTCTAATGTAGCCAAAGGGAAACCACCCGTTTTGGGCTTCCCTCATTTTGACACAACCGCAAATGCCTGGTTTGCTTCTTGTCAACATTGCTAATGGTTGCTTCTTGCCAACATTACTAATACAGAACCTAATCCTAATCCTTCCGCAAAGGGACACCAGCACAAGGACAACCACTAGCATCTAGCATAAGGATGAAGGACGGACAACATTTTGGGAATTGTGCCATCTACTTTGATTCTGGTGTAGGCTGACCCCCCCTTTGTAAGGGGGTAGGGATGGTTGTTCAAGCCAGTTGATTGATAAATCGCTGGTTGCGCAATGCAAGTGTGCAACTCTATGAGAAACACCTCACCAGTTTGGTTCAACATCAATACCCACAAGCTGCCAGTTACCATTCCAAATTCAGTTGTGCTGCGCTTTTTCCTTTCAGCTTTCTCCAAGTTGTGAGTCCCTACATGCTACATTCTATAAGCATGGAAACCAGCACTGGGGGTCGGTTCCTCCCCGGCCCACTCGCGCACTCGCGCACTCGCGCACTCGCGCCAAAACCCGCGTGCGCCTCGTTCAGCGGGCCCAGGGAGCCGCTGGTGGCCACCGTCAGCACCGAGGGATCCACGGTGAGGCACACCACCTCGTCGCAAAGTGCCGCAGAGAGCGAGCCGGAAGGCCGACGGAAAACAGGACATGTCGCGGAATTCCAACCCCGGGTGCTATAGACTAACTCAGATTCATTGTGGAACTATATTTGTGGAATCCGCGAGTGACCATTGTAGATTCGAAAACAAACTCCGTGAAATTCCGCGCAACTGAAGGGATCCCATTTGTTAGCTGCTGTCGGGAAGTCTCTGGCCAGGAACTCCTCTTTGTTCGCTCGGAGTTCTGACTAAATGGCTTTGCCAAACTTGGACTCTCTGCAAACCGAGGCCTAGCTGGCTGAGCAGTTGGCAAAACGGTGCCCTGGCGGGACATCTGCCCCTCGCTGTTGTCCATCGCAACGGGTGCCCTTTGTACCAGTTGCCAGTTCACGTTAGTTTAATCATGGGTTACCCAGAAGCAATGGGCACGAATCCCTTCAAGAGGGATATTGATTGATTCCGCAGGGATCTGTCTCATGACGGCTGGACCTTTACATTAGGAAGTTGCCAAAAAATGTACTGCCATGCAACCAGTTGGCTCTTGCCTCGTTTCTAAAGGGCGGTGTCTCCAAATGGCGGAACCCTTGAATTGGGTGACTTTCTGTTGGTTTGCCACTAAAACAATCCAAGAAGGGTACCCAACAAAAGACTCGCCGAAATCCAGACTTCCTGCTATGCTAATTGGGTAATTGGGCGCGTCTTTTGGAGGGGTACCGTTTGTTTGGCAGCTTCTGGAGGACAACTACAGGAAACCAACCTATACTAAAGGATCCCCGGTCGGTGACAAACCTGGCCTTGGTGTCCCCCTGTGTCTCCGCGGTGGACTGAAGCGCCACCTAAAGTCGACGAAAAGCGGTGCCAGCCCTGCGACAGCTACACTCCAGCATTTATACCTAAACACACAACGATTCAGATCCATGTTTGGCGAAGCAACCTAGAATTGCGTCAAAGCCGCCGATCCCTGTGTTTTCCAAGGCGCCTGGACTGAGTGTTGACTGGTCTGACTGCGCAGGCTTGGACGTTGGCTGAAATTCAGAGAGGCAAGACCGCTTGCTATATGAGAGTCCATGAGGGCGATTGAGCCCTCAACAGGGCTTCTTTTCTCACCTCAGGAAGAACCCTTGCTTTGGGCCTAACGTCCTGCCAAAACCCTTGACCCTGCCCTTTCGCCTGCAAGCAGTCGCCGGGCATGTCACCCCGATAGTCCTCGTGTGTGGCAAAGTGCACCAAACATGACTGAAACCTCCAGGTGTATGATTCTAGGGCTTGATTCCATTTCCATTCTTTTCAACCATCGTTCTTTTCCAAAGCCAGCCGTTTTCCCTGGGATTCTGGAGGTTTTCTAGAAAGAAAGATCCCTAGAAATAATGGAAATGGAAGGTACCCCTAGAATGATTCCTAATCCTGACAAAGGGTCGGGCAACCAGGTTGCGGGTGGAGCTTCAACAAAAGAAAGCCACAAGGAGACTCCTGTAATTGGATGCCATGTAGCTTTTGATGCCTCTGCTCCATGTGTGTGTGTGTGGACACATGTCGTAAGTCGGAGATGGTCGCCGTGATCGAACTAGTTGGTGAATAGTACTTCTGTTATGCGAACTTGACTTGACGCTATTTGGGCGTTTCCTCAAATGGAAACAAACTCTGTAATGGTCTGGCTAGTTGCCTTTTGAATGCCGTATACACGCTATCCAAATGGGGCTTGATGTTCAGAGTCAACTGCAAAGCTTGCTTGGCGCGAGTAAATCAGAAGGATGGATAACCCATTCTCGGGGTTAGCCTCTGAAGTTTGCGGGGCTCCGGGTGAATGTGTCCCGAAAACACATCATTCCGCCAAATAAAGAAAACGTACCTACCATTGGCAACAGCACAGTTTCAACGGAAACTCAATTCACATCGGCAACCAAAGGCACGACTAAGGACAACTCACTTTACATTGCAACCAACATGTGATGCTTGAAAGATGAAGCGTCGACACAATATCCACAAGCCTTCATGAATCAAAGGAACCTCATCAAATACTTGGAACCAAAAGAAGGAGTGTGAAAGACCTGCTGACTTGGTATTGGCAACCAACAGGTGATAGGTCAAATAAATCTGAATCATTGGCAATCAACACACAAGTGCCGAGTCGAAGGGACCTTGCGTATCAAGCAAGCTAGCACTTCTAAACATCAACACTTAACATCAACAACGAAACAATGATGCTTCAAAAGCAACCAACTAACAGTGGCAACCTTAAGGTACTGCTTCGAAGCAATCTCAGCCAACATTGGCAAGCGACAGGTACTGGTTCAACAAAACTCCCTTCTCATTGGAAACCAGCCGGCAATGCCGAAAGCAAATGAAGTTCAGTTCACCTTAGCAACCAACAGGTGCTGTTGAACCTGAACCTCGCCTTCAGGTCGTTCTTAAACCAGGCAGATGCGCAACGGAAACTTCCTTCAAGTAAAGGGAATCATGGCCTCCATTTGCTTAACTCGCCAGAAAAAAAAATACAAATGCTCCCGGAGTGGTAGATTCCCTCTAAAATCTAAAACCAACAGGAGAAGAAAAACATAATCTTCAGCACATGGAAGACGGGAAAGACCGGTTGCCATTCCCGCAATGAGAGCTGTCGCTCAGTGACAATCAGACGTTTCAAAGGGACGGCTCAAAGGACACCTCTGATCATACGACCGAAACATTGGACAGAGTCAAACCCCGGTCAAGAAGCCCATCCGAAACTTCATGCCCCATACCATCGGACGCTCATAGCCGAAGCTTGACCACGCAACAAACAATGGTCGTGTGTGTACCTGGCTTCTTTCCCGCACCTTTGTGCTGGGCACGTCCACTGACCTGCCACTACCCAGGTTTTGATTGTGGTCCACTGACCTTGCTGAGAAATATAGGCCTCTTTCCAGAGGACTTAGTTGCCATACTCAGGGAGAAAGCTGTTTTGATGGGTTTCACTTGATTTCTCAAAAGGAGGGGCCAACAACTATAACATCCTAAATTGGAACGGGGGTGTAGGGTACTTTCAAACGACGCCAAGTCAATGATCATAGCAGCAACATGTCAGTCATTCGTTAGCCCCTCATTTCTGGGCTGTTCAACATGGAGGGCGGGCAATCCTTATCCTTACTCCTTTCAGCGAAACCACCGCACAGGGCAGCCAAAACTTTCATAACCCACGAGGATCTTGCGCGTTGCCTATTTGAACAGCCCAAATACTGGCCTCAAATCAACATGGTGCCCCAACAAACCATCATTGGTGGAGGAATCCGTAGTCTATTGTACTAGGGGGGGAACCCTCCCAACCGAAACAGTTGGGTGAGAAAGGGCACGTAGCTGGGGGACCTAGTCCTTTTTTGGGCGAGTACCCCTCCAGGTCCCCGCGGCCCCCGGGCCCTCCCCAAAGTCCTTGACCCATGTCACCAGGCCATTGAACTGGACCACCAGCCGCGCCACACGGTCCTCGCGCTTTTCCAACGCCAGGGGCGGAAAATCTCTGCGGCCGCAAGGTGCTGGATCCAACGTTTTTTTGGCACCACCATGAGTGAAGCAAGGGATAGGAAGCAGTCAAACAGAATTGTGTAACTATGGATCCAAATATGATTCGGATTTCACACCTGGGACTTCCCAATTGGGCTTGGAGAAATACACCCCGATTTTTCCAGGGTGATCACAGGCTGGTTGGCCCCGTTTCAGGTCAGGCAAAATCTTCCGGAGTTCTGGAAAGATCAGCCCAGTCTGCAGGGGTGGAATTTGAGAGGCAACGGTCTGCAAGAAACATATTCTGCTCAGGGTGAGATTAGCACCCCGAGGGAAGCTCACGCAAAAGCAAGAGCCCAACAAACCGACCCCCCCAACAGCCCAACAGCCCAACAGCCCAACAGCCCAACAGCCCAACAACCCAAGAACCACCCAAACTTTGCCATGTGCTGAACATTCGGTCGGCAGAAATCAGGTGCAGCAAAGGCATCTGGAAGTGCAGCAGGAATCAGTCATTGATTGATTGATCCGTGGCCCACCGAGGCAGCCATAGAAACCAAAGCTTCGGTAGGCCTGTTCCAAACGAGTTGGGCTTTCAGCACAATTGCTCACATCATGCAACAAGATGCGTCTGATTCAGGTGCATGCGTTCAGCTTAAGACCAGAAAGGACTCATGCTCTTAAATGGGTGGCAAGGCTCCTAGGAATCTTGCCTAGAACAGCGGAGGGGAAAACACAAGTGTGTTTAACTGCTAATAATCATTTGGTTTTTATATGATGTGCTGCCTTCATATAAAGACGATCTCCGGAAGAAAGAGCAGCAGCAGAGACAATATGCAGCACCAGTTGACGCAGCTCCCTGATGTTCGGCTTCAGTTTCATTAGATCAGCATACCTCATGGAAGATGCTGTTTGACCCCAGGAGAGATCTGGCCAGGACACTGGATATGGCTGCCTTTGTGTGTCTCCTTTGAAGGTACCCTTTTCTTGTGGTGGGAACCAGCAAGAAAACCGAAGTCATTTGGAAGTCCCCCCAAAAAAGACGAGCCACCCCTTTGTGCCGCAAATCTTAACCAGAGCGAGCCTCTGCGAGTCCTTTTAACGCATAGTGCGTCTGAAACAAAACGTCGCCAACCTCCCCTCAATCAATGTCCTTTTTCTCCTTGGCTTTCCCTTTAAAGAGACTCCCAAAATATACAATATGTAACTAGGCCAAAAGAACCCAGCCAATCAGACAAATAATGCCGCCCCTTTGATCGCACTCAACAATCAGTGAAGCAATATGAGACTCGGTAAAATACATGCATATCTATATATGGTGATCTAGGGGCGTGGGTGCTGAAATGTCCACAAACACAGTGAACAGGCCGATTTTCTGGAACCGCATATTTCGACCCTTGCGTTTCCAGATCACCCAGTCAGTCAGCAAAGCCCATTCCTCGGAACGCGACTCGCTCACAGTCGCGCTTCCCACTTCCCAAGGCCCGCCTTCTCGTGCGCCAGACATTCTTGCCGGACCTGATGCGCCCCGTGGCCGGCAGGGCCGTCGCCCGGCAGAGTACTCATAGCCCTCACATATTTCGTTGGGTGCCTTACGGTGCCTTGTAGCCCCCATTGACATGGTGCATGGCTTACAATTGAGAGGGCCAAGGGCGCAAGTGCGACAATGTAACCTAGACGAAAAACCAAACCGCTTCAGTCAGGGAGGCGGGTCTCAGCTCCGAGAGAAACAAATACAAAACAAACAAAGAGTAGCCTATCCATATATCAGAGCACATACATCGAAGAAGGAGGCACATCGCAAATCCATGCGGAACTTACTTGAAAAAACACCACAAACACAGCAACACACAAGGTCAAAGTGTGTCGCCCGATTGATTTTTACTCTCATCCGCAAATGGAAACCAGTCTGTAGAAGCAGAAGAAGACCACAACACATCGAGCGACAATGTAGTCTGGGTGGAAACTAGTAGTCTGGACAAATCTGAAACCTGCCCACGCCACTTGGTTCCCATCAGCGGGAATTCATAGCCATGTTTACTCACCCACGTTATCCAATGTTCGGCCACACCGCGCCGTACAGTTGCGGCACTTGTCTCTCGGCAAGGGTGACAAAAATACAGCCGTATCCTCCACCCAGTCTGCACCCAAAAGGCACCCTCTTTTGATGTCCATTTGCCTTCCGTTGCAGGCATGTTTCCACACACTGAACAACTTCTGGACCAAGCGCGCTCAAAGCGTTGTCATTGGAGAGACTCGATATGGGTGGGGAGCCAAATGATGGCACCTTTTGGTGCAACATCATGCCTTGAAATGGCCCCCTATTTGTGGCACCCGCTCTGACGCCCGTTCCCAGAAGTGGTCTCTTGTGAGCTTGGCAGAACTCCAATCAAGCGAAACCCCGGAGGACAAGTTGGTTGTCTTTCAAACTGTTGGTCTGAAGGGTGGCTGCCCCTTGTGTATCAGCCTTTGTGAAATCAGACCAAAAAAGATGGATTGCTGCTTGTAGTGCTTTGTTGAGCTCCTACAAGAACGATATGTTGTGACATACTCGGGGCAAAGCCGTACATCTGCGAGATCGAACTGTCTTGCCTTCAGCATCATCCGGAGCGCATTGGCGAGTCCCACTTCGCAATTGTTCTGGCACGAGTACTCAAGCAGCGGATTGCTCAATCTACTCGAAAGCCCAGGATACAAATGATCTGTGGTTTTAAGTTGAGCACTGTCTATAATATATATATATATATATATATGTATGGGTGCTTATACTTCCCCTTCATAATCCTAGACGCACAGCTGCTCGCCACATGACAGAGCTGACGGCAGAGCCAGGCAAGCTCCGGACAAGTCTGGGATGGAAATACATTATATTATATCAGGCACAGCACAAGCATCCAGATCATGCTCTTAGTCAAGCTGTTCATGACCGTGTAAGCCTTGTCAAACATCGGCAACCGTGAAAACCACTAAAGGCCCACAGCACGCCCAATGTCTATTGACATTCTTTCATTTACAATATGGCAAGCAAGCAGCAGCAAGCCGGTCACAAACTAAACACAGTGCTTGCCTCAGACCGCAGAGGATCCCGCGAGGCGATTGTGTTCCGACCATGCAATGGAGGTCGCTCTTGTTATCTCATCCATGCTGTTGCCACACCAACATTTGTTGCAGAATTCAACAGCTAATCCAGTAATTCCAACCCCGCTTGTTGATTGTCCATGTTGTTTCCTTTATGGCGTAGTCCTTGTCCAGAAGAGTCTATCATGCTTTGAAACACAGCACGCATCACAGTCAGTAACATCCTCAGCTACCCCTCACGTAAAGCCTCCTCGCAAGTTTTGGGGAGCGATACCCTGGCTCAGGGCCTGGAAGGACGAGGCTTTCCAAAGGAAAGTACAGTGAAGCCAAAGGAAACATACACAGAATCTGGAGGCACCCATTCGGAGATATGATTCTGCTGGGAAGCCGAAATGAAACCAAAAGGAACTGCAAGGAAATGAAAACCAATTCACAAAACAGCCGGATCAGCAACTCAGCCAGCCAGCCAGCCAGCCAGCCAGCCAGCCAGCCAGCCAGCCACCCAGCCACCCGACAAGACAAGAGAAATCCCGATGTTTGCGGACCTTGGCGCTCTGCAGCATCTGCGCGGCGTTGGGAATGATCACCCCACAGGTCTGGCAACGGCTCGTGACCCGCTGGGTTGTGCAAATCGAGTGGAGTGACGGAACAACCATATCGATTATTCTCCATGTGCTTAAGTCCCCTCTGGAAAACATGCAAACATGTCCAGTAGAGGCAAATTCCCTTTAAAACCAACATGCAGCAAATGGCAATGATGAACCACTTCACTCAAACATGGGTGAATTCCATCCGCGTCCAATCCCGATGAAAACACCAGCTTGCTTCAACCCATGGTCGGACCCGGACCTCCCGATAGTCCCTTCCTGTTGATTTGCTCCGAGGCGTCGTCAAAACATGAGATACTCGGTGACAAGAATAAACCCAAAAAGGGTACCGCAATGACATATACACATATGCAAATACAACAATTAGCTAAACAATGCAATACATGACAACATATTATGTGTGTGTGTGTGTCACCCACCTATGTTAGAGGGACAAATTGGAAAAGGCAACTCCGCTACGATAATTTCGCCATCTCCTGGGTTGGGTACATCCCCCAAGTCGGAAGGGTGTTTCACCCCACGACCCAAAGGCAGCTAGAACTTCAACCAAAAAGTCGCACTGGAAAGTCCGAAACGGACACAACACGTCTCTGCGCTTCCGCTAAACCCCAAAACCAGAATGGCTTTCAAGGGGTTGAACATAGCTGGTTCAGTCACACGGCACGACTCATGTCAAAAGAAAGGCAAATGTAGAGACTGGAGGGGTTTGAGCGCTCTGCCAGCCACAGCTCTCTAATGGATGTTTTCTTCCGTTTTGGCTTGGGTGGTGGGTTTGTCTTCGTCTTCCAAAAGCCATGCGTAGCGGTTGGTTGTATCTCTGAACAGCTCCTTCAGGTGATGTTCAATCACCACCGTGAATCGCTCATTGGCTCTGTATTCTCAGTTTCCCCTCCAACAGCGAAACAGTTGCTTCCAGGACGATCTTCTTGAAGCATTCCAGACCTCCGGTCTCCAAACAGTCCAAACCATTGAGTCATCAAATCTCCAAGATCAACAATTCGTGATATTTCCCGCGATGATTGTGGAAAATGGACACGGTTGTGATACCGGGACCGGACGGGTCATTCCACTTTGAAATGGGCTTGGTATCACAGTTGATTGGCCAAAGCTTGCTTTCAACCTCCAATAGAGAGGTTGGAATAAGGGTGCCCTTTTTTCTGTAGTCTATTTTAGTAGGGGAACCCTCCCCCAAAAAAGGGGTGAGAAAGGACCTAGACAACATGTGCGTAGCCTCATTGAGGTTGGCTTTAGCTAGGTCAAGGGCCAACTTGGATTTGTTTGGTGGAGGCCCCCGCTTTTCAGTGAGCCCACTTCGTCCTTGCCTTGCAACTTTTCACAAATGCAACCAAGCGCAAAGTAGGTCACAGGAGATTTCGCCACATGGGTGTGTTTTTTTGTTAAGGGTACCCGTTATTGGGCTAGGTTTGAAGGGACACCAACAGGAAACCACCAAATTTTGGTTGCTTTCTGCTCCCCTACTAAAAGTTTAACTTTAGTGGTTTAATGGAAGCCCCATTAGTTGGCAGAAAGTTAAAGTCCTAACATCCAAGCACAATGCAACAAAGAAATTGTGGGGCTCCGAATCCAAGTTTGAGACACACGCCACATCTTGCCAAACCTTTGGCCATCGCCTCTGAGTCGCAGTTCAGCCACTGGGTGAGGCCTCTTTGGCTGGATCAGCCGCACGGGATCTGCAAAATCGGGGGAACTCCCTACTGCGGATGGTTGCGTCATCCGGATTTCGCAACCGCGAACTCAAACCATGGGAACGAAACCGGAACGTTGGTTGGGATTTACAGGTATTCATCGAAATCCAACTGTTCTTAGGCGGTGCGAAATGGATTTTGTCCATCCACAGTAGGAAAAGCCTAAGGTTCTTAGAAGGGGCTCTTTGATGTGTTCTAAAAACCTTTTGGGATGGGAATCCCATGTCTCTCCCGACAAACGGATTTGTCTCCGAAAAGCGAGCCCCTCTTTTCGGTGGTTTGAAAGAGAACCAACTGGAAACCATTCCCACACCGAAAGTCACTCATTTCGAGTGAGTGCCAGTTGCGAAGACTGCTGTTCACGCCCGGTCGCAGGGTCAGGGTCCATGCAAGTTGGTTTCCCCTTAAACCAACTCTCACATGGGTACCTTCAAAACCACGCAATCGTTTCAGGCTCCCTGGAACGACTGAGTTGCCCTCAGTTGTGGCCTGTCTTCCCTTCCTGGCCGCGATTTGAATACTAACTCGAATCAGCGTCAACGGTCAGACTGAAGGTGTCACCAAGCGCTCAATGACAAAGACCATGTTGACGACAGCATCTCACCCACCAAAGAAAACTCCTTTTAACATTGTGGCTTGAGCAAGCAAAGATGCACGCAACAGCTTGGGTCTGGCCATTTCTTGCGAACAACGAAATGTCCAATACAGGTGCCTCGAGCCAACATGAGAGCCACTTCACGGAAGATCAATCGCATAAAATGACGTCGAAAGAGAAACCGGGGCCCATTTCGGGGCTTCCCCGAGTTGGGGTGTTTTAAACTAGAGGACCCCAACCAAAACGCCACGTGTTGCTCCCTTGGGTTTCCTCTAACCCCCCTGAAGTCGCAGCTCAGGCTCCGACAGGCGCGCTCCTGGCTGCTCAACTCGTCAAAGGCGTTGCAGAGGCTGCTGCCTCCGACAGGAAAACCCATGGCGTCAGGTGGGTACAGGTGGAGGGTCCTAGATGGGCGTTGACTTTAAGTCATTTACATGGGCTGGGGAGTTGTGGACATCATTTACGGGGGACCCCACCTTTACATTGGACACAAATCCCCATGTCCTTAGATTTAGATGGGGACCCTTTGGTGGACATCAATTACATGGGGATTTGTGTCCAGCCACTTTGGAGGAGGCTGCCTATTTACATTCATAGCCATATGACCCATGGACAAAACATTCTGGACGTCTGTTGTTTGGTGTGCAATTTCTGGGAATGGGCTTCGCTTTGCAACCAACAAGACAACCAAAAGGGCAACCCACCATTTAAGTCTTAATCCGAACCCATGGTTGCGCGGTCTACCCACAAACTACACACAAAACAAAAGGAGCGAACAGAAACAGAAACTCCGCAACCCCTATCTACAGGATGCACCCAACAACCCATGACGAAGAACCAAAAGGGCTCCTTACCCGCACCTGGCTGGGACTGTCCCCCACACACCTGCAACTACTTGTGCTCTCTCAGCTCAAACTGCCGAGTCCGCGTGACAGCCGTTTGAGCACGTGTAGTCAACGTGCCAAGCCAACAAAGAAGGCACATACCTGGCATGTGGTTTGACGAATTGATTAGCAAAGGGGACCGAACTTAGTCCATGACTTTGTGAAGTCCCTCGCCCAAATGGTAGACGTGAAATCTCCCGCAAAAAAAAAAGGTCCCACAGGGGTCACTGGATTTCCCCAAATCAAAAGTTGATGATTGTACTGGTGGTTTCGGGGCGGTCGCCACTTTAGGTTCCAACAAAGGAAATGGTTCGGACAAATCACACTTCAAGTCATGCCTGATCCACACGACAAGCCCCGCCTTCGTCCTTGTCATAGGCATCAAACAGACACAGAAGCCTGGCCGGGTGCTCAGATGTTCAGGAAAACACCCAAGCACATTATGTCCTGTAGTTTTCGCTCGGGATATTACAAATTGGCAAATGAGCACCCAGGACTCAAACATGACATCGACGCTGTCTCAAAACAAGGGTCCAAAGAAGGGGCATGGCTTGAACCTAGAACCAACATGATTAGATCAAAACGGTCGCTTTTTGTTTAAGGGTCAACATTCATTGCAATCTGTGACCCGCAAGCGGAGGCTTGACCATGGCACCGGCTGCGTGATCACTCGCTCTCCGTCAGTCCAGAGTCAGTCTGCGCGAGTCTCTCCGATCCCGAGAGCAAGGAGCGCAGGCCGGAGAAAAGGGCGTCTCTTGTTTTGAGGGTACCCATTTTTTGTTGTTCTTGAAGGGAAACCAAAAGGAAAACCAGCATTTTCGGAGTCCCCCTAAAACAAATACACAAAAATAAATATTTGAAACTGCCAGTGGCAATGCATTTAGATTTTGGCTTTTCATAGGGTCCAAGTAGCTAGACCGGTCAAAGCGCGAGGGTACGCGGACCAAATGCAGATCTTCAATCATGGGAAGACAACTCGACTCTGACGAGGGCCCAAAGCGCTGTTATGTCCATCTGATGTCCAGCGTCGGCCTGCCCAAATAAGCAATATATTGACTCCATGTTCGCTTGAGAACTCAGGGAGTTGCCTTTAGCTCACCGGCAAACCTCAGCAGGTGCCACAGATTCTGGCCAACAGGGCTCTTAAAGCTCAACCATTTACTACGTAAGCCCTTGGAAGAAATAGTTGAAGTTGCACCTAGTGGACTAACTAGGTGCCGCCCAAAGACTAGTCGCTTCCAGCTGTTGGAATGGAGCTTGAGGTCCCAAAAGCTTTGCCCGCGCCTGGACAGCGCCTGATGCTCCGGCGAGGCGAAACGGGACATAGCCTTGGATCCTGGCACGCGGGTTCCAACGGGCGTGCTTCTTGGGTTCCATTTGCGACCCAAACTTCATCCCAGCATCGTGAAAACAATTTTCCAAACAAGGGGGGACCCAACAGCCTGGGTTTAGGTCTGGCGTAGCCAAACAAGGACCATGGTTCATTTGGTTCCCATCATTTGCCAGTGGGATGTTTCTTGCAAAAAAGTCCGAACGGGTCTATCTCAAAACCCTTGGGAGCAGGAAATCGTTGCCCGGCATGTGGCATGTGGTACAACTGTCTGGAGGCACTGGTCGACCCCTTGTTTTGCCACCCCATGGAAAAACACATTCACAACATAGGGAGAAAGCAAGTCACTCTGGGGAATCCTTTTTGGGATGGGTTCCCTGAATCGGAAACCAAGTGACGACCTGAGTAGTGCTTTCTTTGAGGGTTCTTAAACATGAACGGACCAATATACAGGCCCCGAGTAAATGTGTCAAGCGGAGCGCGGCACCAGAAAGCTCACCAAACAAAGCGACTCACTGACACTTGGGTGAATCATTCAAGCGATTTGGAGGCCAGAGATGTGTGTCCAGTGTCAAGGAGCTTTGCAAATAATGAGAAGACACGTGCTGCCAATGTAGCGGATGTCCAATCTACATGGCAAGCCGCCAACAGGTTTGCGAGTGAAAGCCACTGAAAACTCAGTACAAATCCATGTCTGATCCACGGTGAAGCCGGCACCAAGGCCATTCAACAGCACGACCATGGTTTACCTGTTGACATCTGTTGACTCTTTGTGGTTGACAAAAAGTACCTCCCTCTTTCTGGGTTCTATGCTTGTGGGTTCCAAGATCTTACGGGTCAGAAAGTAGAAGAGCAAACGCACAATCAAAAGTACTGGCCCCGTGAGGATCAACCAAACACATCGGTGGGAGGAAATCCTCTCGGGGGATTCATGTGCGACAGTGAGTCCCCAACACAGGGTGCCCCAACGAACATCGGGAACGCGCCTCGGAGCAGCATGAATTCGTCATAGCAGGCCTTACCTGATTCCGGGAAAAGCTCACACACCAACATGAAACCCAAAAAAGGGCCTTAAACCTATCAAAAAACCTCTAGTTAGGAGGGTAATAACCCCGTTAAAACCAAAGGCAGGTGGCTTTTAGGATTGATGAACCTCTGGGCGATTCATGAAGGGATGACACATTAGGCGGCAAGTTGACAAATCCGGCGTCAACAATGTGCCCCCTCAGAATGAATTAGTTGCCTTGGTTGGTGTGTGGCCTGAATATGGTCAGCTTGCTTTCGTGCTTGTCTGCTCCATTTCTCCGAAGACCACAACTGGACATGTCGCTGAGACTACGGATGCAACTCCTCACGCCACACAGTTGGTGAGTGTAATATCGGGTCAATTTGACTCGTTAGAATAGTTGGGTGCTGGGCTACCTTTCCTCCCACCAACATGGCACCTGTGAGAGGGTACCTGGAAGATTAGTTCCCTTTTCAAGGGGCTCTCTGTCTGGTGTGGCAACGTGCGAGGGTACGCCTAAAGGCTCCAACTCGAAAATGATGGGCTCTTGCTGGCCGCTTCGGGGCCTCCACTGAGTGAGACATTCAAATCCTTCCCTCAGATTGCACGCTAGCATCCCTGAAGATGCTGATCGATACTAAGAGTTTCAACTGTGAAATGATGTCAAAGCTCACCGTTACAATCCAAAACTCGAGCCTGTCGTTTAATTACTGGGTGTGAGCTGGATGGCCCTCCCAGCATGTTGGCCTGACATCTGCAATGAGCATGTCTGGGAATACGCCCCCCTGGTTACAAACATGGAATGTCCTGCTTGGATATCTCTGCTACATCCCGCCCCAGATTGGACGCCTCACGACAAGATGCAATGAGTTGCGACAACTACTCTGTCACTTTCAGTAACATTCCTTCAATGACACAACATGAGATGGACACAAAGAGAAGACACCACCGGGTACAAGCGGAGGGGACAATTTCCTGCACGTGGATAAAGCAACTAAAGGAATGATAGAACCTCGCTTGGCGCCATTTCCCATATCAAACTCAGTCAAGGTGCATTTACGGGGAGTCCTCCCGTATCCCTGGTGCTAGTTGGTTTCCCTGAGCGAACCCGAGCGCTTGGGAGACAAACCGCGCGCCACGAGACGCGCCATGCGCGCCGTAGACCGAGGCGCCATCGCGGGTCCAAAGCTGCTGTAGGGCCTTGAGCCCGGGGGTGCAGCGCTTGAACCGGGCCTCGTTCCTCAGGAGCTGAGAGCCCTTTGGGCGGCTCCCGTCTTTGGAGGGTTTTGAGGGTGGGTTCAAAGGAAAACTGGACAAAAAGCTTGTTTTTTGGGAGGGCGCCGCTCGTTTTTAAAGGGAAACTCAAGGGAAACCCAAAGCCATTTCGGTGTCCGCCGATTTCAATAAGCAAAAGCAAACAAGTCATCAGGGGCTCCTTGGATCTTGGTTGACGTTTGAACGGGAGCAACAAATCGAATTTTAGTAGCTAAGTGGGGATTTCCCACTAAGCCACAACAAGCAAAAATGCAAAATGTTTCCCAACAACAACCATGGTGTTCAAAAATGTTTCCCAACAACAACCATGGTGTTCAGCCATGTTTGACCTATTTAGTAAACCACAACCGGCTCGGCTCGAAGGAGTCCATGGCGAATGTTACCTGCCCGTAGAAGGTTGTGTGTGAAGTTGGTTGGCATATGAGCGTTTTCATCTACCTAACAAGACCCACAGCCCCCGTGGTTTGCCGGCACCCCCTAATCCACCCTTGTCCAGCACGTGGTTCAAGTATGGCACCCTTTACTACTCAAGTAGCACAACTCGTGCAGCCATACCTGACACGTGGTGACCTGCGTTCTATTCAGAACGTGGGGCCGTGGTACCACGAGGCGTGAGTAGCAGGCAAGTCTGGGGGGGTTTAGGGTTAGGCTTAGGGTTTTAGGGTTGAGGTTTAGGGTTTTTAGGGTTAGATTTATGGTGTTTAGGGTTTAGGTTTAGGGGTTTTGTGTCGGGGCGTTGGTTCGGGGCGCAGGCAAACCTCAGGGGCTGGCCATAACAATAGGTTAAAGATCCATCCAACTTTCGTGTTTTCTGTTTCTTTTTTAATGGGGGCCAACTACCTCAAGTGGCCCCAAGTTCCTTTTGGTTTCCCCTTTGAACTGGACCGGAGGGATCCATCGACGCATCTTTTGATTGAAACCGCCTCTTGTGTGACTCGGGTGCCACTTGAATGGGCCCCTGCATTGGAGAGGGAGACTGAAATTAATACTCAGTGCATTTCCCCGCGTGTCTTTTCCAGCACGGAATTCAAGTCTACCTTTGGGTCCCACGGAACCCATGGTGCCCGGGCTTCCTTTGGAGGTCACTCAACTGGGCGCATTGCGCAAGGAGGTTGTTGGAAGCTAGACGCACAAGAACCATTTCGAAGCCAGAAGCGGCCAACTTATTTGCCCAGTGGCCGTAGTCAAACAGGAGTCTCTGCTGTTGGTGTTTGACTTTGCGGATCTCTTTCCCAAAAAGGAACACCAGGTTTTGTTGGACTAGGCCAAGTAGGATGTCAAGAGCCAAAAATACCGCCTTGCCCGCTGCTTCCAAATGAATGGAGTGCCTGGTAAAGTGCGGCCAAGGCATGGCGAAATCCCTCGAACTCGGTCGCAAGTTGCAACGTCAAGAAAATCCAAGGAGCAGACACAAAGAGCGATAAGAGTTTGGATGTGTGGATTCAGCTTGTTTTCGTATCCTGCACCAACAAGTAGAACCAAATGATCCAGATTCCGGATCAAGTGATATGGGGAAGCTTCACCTTGGTGGAATCTTTCAAGATGCTCGGTTTGTCTGGACAAGAACTGGATACGAGCTCACTGAAACTAGATCGACCAAAGGATCCAGCCGTGACAGCGAGGGTTTTCGAGGCTCAAAGAAAGCAAAGCCAAGCAGCCAGATACCCGGTGCCCGACAGCTTCTTCCAGGTGCCCGACAGGTGGTTTGACACAAGCTGTTCCGCGTGTTCGGTTGTTTAGGTCCCGTCTCTGGATCTCGGGACTGTGTGGGGGTCAGTCCCCAAACCAAACCCCGCAGCTTCCGAAGCTTCACGCCGGGCGGCATGAACAGCGAGCCAAACTGGCTTTTCGGGCCTCGGCTTCGGCTTTCAGAGGCCCCAAATTACACTCCAGCCATCAGATTTCCAGCCAAAATGCACATGCTTGTTTCTGGTCCGAAAATGGAAATCCTGACAAAAGAAAACAAATATCCCAGAGATGCTGCTTGGGGATCCCCCCCAAAAACCGAGTAACTGAATTAGAGCTAGACGCGATCAGCGCTTTTGAGGCATCAGTCCATGATAAGAGGCGCTTGTTCGGGGCGCCTTGACAATCTATGCACATAGTGATTTGCGTATGGGGTAGCGCCATTGACTAAGTTAGACTGTTTGGGGCTTGTCTTGAACAGATCATCACAGTCTTCGTGACTTGCAGCCAAAGCCAAGGAAGCTATGATTACAACCCAATTGTCACTGCTGGTGTCCATTGGGGGTCATCAGGAAGGCTATCCAAACAACACTGTTTTCAACTCTTTGCATGTCCGCAGTCAGCCTCAGCGTGTGCGGAGGTTGTCTGGCACTCCAAACAACACTTAATTCAGGAAGATGTGTTTGAAAACATGAAAAGCACGGAGCCCAACTCCGCGAGGAGCTGCGCCATGAGGTCGCACCCCACAAGCCGCCAATGAATGGTGAAGGACTTTGAAGCGGCCTCCGGCCTCCGGCTCCCTTCGTGTGTCGAACTAGGTGCCCATTCAAACAGCTGAAGAACACGCTTTAGCTGGGAAAGACTCCACCAGTTCAGACACATACGCGCACACACGCCCTCGGCCCTCTTTCCTGGCATGCCTTGGGGTCCCGAGCCCAGCTTGCCGCACATCTGCGCGAAGATGCGGAAGAGGAAGAAGGAGTGGCCCTGCGGACCATGGGCCTTCCTCGGCAAGTGAAGAAAAATGCATCTTGGTATGCCTGCGCGCGCGTGTGTGTGTGTGTGTGTGTGTGTGGGTGGGTGGGTGGGTGTCGTGCGTGTCTGTGTGTGTCTGTGTGTGTGTGTGTGTGTGTCTGTCTGTGCGTGTGTGCCTTTGTGCCTCTGGTGATGCAAGCCCAGGGTAAAGGCACGAAACCAATCATGGCTCAGTGCAATCCACGCGACGTGGTGCTGCACAACACGGCTGTTGGGTACAAAAGACAATCGTTACTTGTGCCAACAGCCCCGGAGACATTTGCTGGCTCCATCAAGTTGAGGTTTAACATTTCCATCAACACCCAAAGAAGGTAATTTTGAGGATGGGTCCCTCTTCCACTTTAATCGAGGCCAAGCCACAACCGCTCCTTCACCATGACGAGGTTGGCTGCCGTGTTCTCCCCCAGCAGGAACTGACTGAACTCGAAGTCCACTCGCAGGCAGTCGATGATCAAGGACCGGTACCTCAAGACCCAAGCGTCGCGAAATCATGGAATCCATTTTGGACCTCTTACTACAAAAGGCTGCAAAAAAAAACACCGGGGTAACAAGAAGGCAACTGTTTGGCACAACACACCTGGCCAAGAGTGAGTAGGCACCACATGTGTTGCGCCGAGGGGTCGGCAAAACCCTGCAAGCCCTGTTGCCATGTTTGCTCCCAACCGCTGGGTTCCAAACAACTTCCCCGTCCCAATGCTCCTTGAGGGTTCGGGTAGCCCGCAAACATCAGAAGTTGGGAAGGCACTGAGCCGCCAAGATTGGCCCACAACGCAACCCAATGCCGGGAAGCACATGCCCACATCCCCAGTCAAGATATGCTTGTCGAACGAAGGTGAACCAATGAAACACCTCCAGGTGTTCCAAATGGTATTGCCCTGCATTCCCAAATGTTCCCTGGTTTCTCCCAGTTCAGGGATGGGCCAACCCCGTGTTACTGTTGCAACATGTTAGGCAACTACTGTTTACATCATCTCCCGTGGTACGAACCCCGAGCTTGTTGGTTCAGCAAGCATTCATGGCGGTAATTCTGGGAAATCATGATGGGTTCAGGTATGAACGCCTACAATCAGCCGTTGAAGCTGGACCGGGGCATGTGCCACTAGGAACAGGGGTTGGAAAACACAGAGCTATAATATAAGTTATGACTCGGTATGACAAAAACAATTACATCAGCAAGTCTGCCCCTTGGCTCTATAGGGGAAAAACAAGTGGGTTTGACTTCCCTTCAAAGGGGACCAGGGGCTTGCACAGTTTTGAACCCTAAATCCCCTGCCAGGATGCTTCTCGTCGAGGCGGTTCACCGACGGTACCACCTAGCCGTGGGCCCCGGAGAAATCAGACTCACCCAAAAAGGGTTCCTTGCTGGTTCAACAAGGGATCCAAGATTCCGAATCTGTAGTCCTTAGTGGGACACCACTACTTACAACAAGGGATGCATTCATCCGGCATAAATTGGCATAAGGGTGAACGATTGAACCCAGCCTGGGGGCACCACTTTCCCTTGCACATGTTGACCCAGTTCCCTTCTCGGAGTCTTCTACTTGGAAAGTGTTGGGTGAGCAACCTTGGAGTTTGTTGTAGCTTCAGGTTGGCACTTGGCACCCTCCGCGGTCAACACGCCGCTCTGGTTGTGAACGATCACTCTTGGAGGATGTCAACTGATCAGCGCCCAACACCACTTTGATGGTATGGGTATATAGGGCCTTAAACAATAAGCCAATAGCACGCGGCACTCTTTCTCGACCCTCGCCGAACCCTGTGAAGCCTTACCTCAGAGCCGCCCCAGAGCCCTTGCAGAACCCCGCGGAGCCGTTGCGGAACGCCCTCAACCCTGCCGAACCTTCCCTCAGAGCCCCCGAGACCACCCCACAGCCAATGTGGGCTGAGACCTCCAAACTTTCAGCACCAGTTGGAGTGGCTTCGAAGAAGAACCCGCCCTGAGATATCAGCAATTGTTGGGGCCCCTGCTTTATACAAATACAAACAGTGCTATCTATGAACCCTTTGTTTGCGGATGGCCTGATTGTCTTTGCTGCAGGCCTGTGCTCGGCACTCTGGCCAGACTGAGCTGGTCATCTGGCAAAGAATAAACAAATGTTCCCACCCTAGAAAATTGATGTCCAATGGTTGTCTGACCCGCCATGCCTCCCGCCCCTCCAAGGCAGGTCCTTGATGCGGTCAGATTCTTCCACGGAAACTGGTCAAACACAACGCTCAAATCCCGGCAAACTTCTCCCTACAAACCAATCAAACTCCCCATAGACACCGGTCAAATTCCCCCACTCTAGAAACCCATAGAAACACATCACATTCCCAGCATAGAAGCCAAGAAACAGGTCAAATTCCCAGAAACCAATCAAACTCCACCTGGAAAGTAGCCAGCCCCGCTTAGAGAAATCAATCAAATTCATCCTGAAAGCCATCAAACCCCTAGAAGCCGTCAAATTGCTGGCACTCAGCCCAATGCAGCCCATTCAAATCAAGTTTCCGCTCGCAGGCCCTGAGACTTCCCTTCGTTCTAGCCGGCCCTTGATGCCATGTGGAAACGCTCCACCATATGTCTTGGAAACCAGCTCACGTATTTCGGCGACAACTCACTCACTCAAGCAAACACAACACTTCAAGGCAAACCACAACACAGCACCTCAAAGCCAACCAAAAGAATGCTGGCCGAGGCGGGCAGCGCGAAGCGTTTTCTTGGTTGCTGTTGACCACAGTTTGTTTATTGTTTGTAAATGTTTGTGGGTCCAATTCAGAAAATATGGTTCCTGTTTCAACCAAAAAATAAGACAGTCCAAAGATCCGTTCCCAAATCGCCAGCATTCCTATTCTAGGGGGACAATGTTGGTCCAACCCCGGAACATGTTGTCTATTTCATTGCTAGTCACTTGTCTTGAGCGCGGGGTGGCCGAGTCTTGAGGAGCCACAGCCCACCTCCGGCCGCTCTTCCAGAATCTGCGCCAGGACCATGTCATGCCTCAAATCGGATCGGAGTTCAGCCTTTGGGCTCGACATGGCCAAACGCGCCTGGGATTCCTTGGGGGCGGTGTCCGGGGGGGGGAGTCCCATGATTTCATTCCCCCCCCAAGCAGGTCAAGCAATTCGGGCGTGATATCGCAATTTCAAGACTCGACACTGTGTTTCATGGCAAGCCAAGAGAAAGCTTATTCAGTGTTTTTCGCGAGAGGCTCAACGAGAATCCACAGGCATTGCGCGTAAAGCCGCGAATGGAGCAGAAAAAAGCAACAACACAAAGCCTTGCGAATGCTTTCCATGGCATGATGCTGATTCACTAATCATGTAGGTGTTTGACAAACTTGGAAATCCTCTTTGGGGAGCCCCCTGCTACATGGGCCAACGCATTTACAGGTCAAGACCGCAAGTGGAGTATGGGCAGCTGCATCAAGGCTTCCGTACATAAAACTGGGGCCAATCATGTAGGCTTCGGCCTGTTTTGCTTCCTCAGGGGAAGGGTCTGGTTCTTGACATCAGTTTTGCCCAGCCCCCACGTTGCACAAAGTGGAGATTGGAGTGGACAACCAAATTCCTGTGGCTGGTTAGTCATTCACATACCCAGTAGTCCTCTATTTCCAAAGTTGCTTCTCTTGAACTTCAAGACACAGACCGATGTCCCTGGGCCCTTGCTCTCACCATGAATCAAGGCACTACGCAGAACCACATACTGAAATGGCGCTTGAAGAATTCTAGCTGCCGAGCTGCATTTCAGGCGTGCAATTCTTCACAGACTCGAAGTCTGCTCGGAAAGCTTTGTACTTTCCTGGCAATGCAAAAAAGTCCGCGTCACAACCGCCTGGTGGGAGCTCATTGGTCAACATGAGGGATCCCCTCAAACAAGAGGGGTAATAGGCTAGGTGTTTGTAGTGCTGACCATTCGAAGGTTCATGGTTGCTGCAAGCCATTCTCCTTGGGGTATGATAGCAGCTACCTCACATTGCCAGGCGGTCCACAAACTTTATCCAAATGATTACCCATCCTCCTGTGCGATCAACAGTCACAGCATGCCACATATCTCGTAGGCAAATGCTTGAAGACAACAAACTCACCTGAAATGATGGATCCTCAAGTCCAAAGCCTTCATCATGTGCCCCGTGGTTGTTTTCTCGAAAGATTAAAGGTCGGTAGTCCTTGGCTGCCTCGCCAGTTGCAACTCGGGCTTATCAAGGTGCTTCGATCGTTTTAAGGGACGATCGTTTTAAGGGACGGTTCGCCACCCAGGTGTCGCAGCTTGGAGGGTTTAGAGGTCTGGTTGAAACCTGGCTACGTCCCGTATCTTGCACTGGGATGCGCAATGCACCTGCGAGCTCTGCGGCCTCAGCTTTTGCTTCCCAGAGTAAGGTATTACTAGGGCCTCCAGTAGAGAGGTTGGAATAAAGATACCCTTTTTTCCTGTAGTCTATTTTAGTAAAAGGGCACTACTGGGGGACCTAGACTATGATTGAATCTGGTCCACATTTAGTGAACCTTAATTTGTAAAAAGGCATCTGAGTTGCCTGGCCGAAAACGGGCAGGAAAGTCTGGCATTGGGCCACCCCAAAACCAGCTCTCTGCACATCAAATATATGTCTTAGTTAATGCGGAATCCATCTTTATGGGTGTTTCGGCAAAAAATAATGTCACACCCAACAGCGGGTTTTCTAAAAAGGAGAAAAGAAGGAAAAAAAGCGCCGCGAGGGAGCTCCCTCCATTTCGAGGAACCCCAAAGGATCGGGAGGCTTCGCGTGTGTAACAAGGGTCAAAAATGCGTCCGCAAAATGGCTTGCCCCGGTCAACGAAGCCAGGGACTTGAAAGCCTGCGCTCCATTTTCCAGGTATATTTCTCTGACTCAGACCCATGTGGCCATGCCCATTTTGGGACAGGTGCACCACCCCATTTTCGTCTATGAAGATTGGGATGTTCACTGGGTGCGCAATTTGGGTTTTGACTCCTTGCCCCATCCGAGGGTCCGAGGGCGTGGATGGCCATGAAGGTCAGGGCGGCATCCAACAGCTCCGGGGCCAGCTTCACCGACTTGGCCAGCCAGTCCTGGTGACCCCAAAACGCGGCAGGAGCGAGGTGGGGGGGGGGGAGAGGGGGAGCGGATCTGGAGTTTGAGGGGTGCCTTTCTTTCCTAACGAGGGTCGAACGGGGAACACCCTGCTTTGGTTCGCTCCGAGGTTCCCACAATTATCCTACCAAAACACATCTTCGGGCGTGTTCTGCAACGCGTATCGACCAACTCTACACCAGTTCCACATTCCCCTGGTCCGGACTCAGCATATGGGTTATGGTCATGCTTCTCATTGAAAGGTTTATGAAATCCATGTTGACCTCCCTTCATACCTCTCCTCTGGGCTTCCGTGAACAAAATATGAGCGTGTCTTTCCCCGTAATGAACACCACTCAAGAAAAGGTTCCCTCAAAAAAAAGAGAGACCCATATTGATGCAGGTGTCATGTTTGGTGTTGTTCAAAAGGGCTCCCCTTGCACCAGGTGTTTTTGCTAGCAAAACCGAACGGCGGTATCCTGTTTACGAAAACGCCATTCCCAGTAAACTACTATGCTTCACAAACCTCACACAGCGCCGAAGAAGAGACCTACACGAGAAGGTGGTACGCCTACCCCAAAATGGTACCAAAACGGTTTTGACCCACAGCCATGTAAGGTCAATTCCCTCAAAGGAACCCCCCCCCCCACTGGTCGTTCGGAACGAAAGGGCGTCAGTTGAGTCACAATGAATCCGGGTACTAAAATGGTCGACCCAGAACCATGCTTCAAGAATTAAGAAGGTCGCAACTATTTCTGGGACTGCCCCTTACTAACCTTCTACCCGAATCGGTTTTGAGCAAGTGGCTCAGTTCCGGGACCCGACGACCCGACGACCCGACGCACGCGTCGGAACCCCAGCTCGATCCTGGATCCACGCCCAGCTCTGCTTACTGAGCTGGCTGTCAGTCGGCTGGCCCTGGATGAAGGCCTGCGGAGGGCGATTTGAATCGGGGGAGGCGAATTGTGTGTCTGAAACACATGGATAGGTACATATATATATATATATGTTATACAATAATAATTTATAATTTGATATCTAAACTATGCAAGTGCAAGGAGACAAGTTGGGGCCCTTTTGCAAACGGTGGATTAGCGACATGATCATTCGAAGACCATGGGTACAAGAGTAGCAGCACACTCCAGAATCTCACTTCAAGGCAGCCACAGGGCGATTGTCTTGGGGAAAATACTGCGGACGGACGAAATCCTGCACCACCCAAGAAACCCTGGAGATGATTCCAAATACCAACAAAGAATGGTTTCAACCATGGTTTCGTAGGTGAACGGATTTCGTTACCATCCACATGGATGGCCGAAATCCAACTGGAAGGAACGAATTGAAGGATCCCAACCTCGAAGGTGCTCTGCTAGGCCCTCCAGTAGAGAGGTTGGAATAAGTTGGTACCAACTGTTTGTCTGTTTTGCCTATTTTAGTAGGGGAACCCTCCCAACCAAAAAAGTTGGGTGAGAAAGGGCACTACTGGAAAACCTTGTCTGTGTCATGGAGAAGCGGACGAGTCTCAGAGTCTCTGAGTCGCCGCGGCCACGGAGCGACTCGGAGTGGCTTGGGGGCCAGCTGAAAGCGATGTGTCTAGATTACAAAACACGGTTGGTTGGGCAGAAGCAACTTGGTCTCATCTGATGTTGTTCCTCTTTTAAAGACGACGCATACAGGAATGAAGTCCTCCCCACGTCATGAGCTGAAGTTGCCAGGGATGCAGCAGGTAGGCTCCATCAGTTCAGCCTACTTGCAATTTACAAGCTGGATATGACGAATATCCCGTGTAAACGCGTCCGCTGTCAGACTAAAGCTCGTCTAGCACGCCATACCTTTTCCCCTTTCGCCTTTGTCCTCGGTGACCTCTCACTTAGATGCAAAAAAAAAAACGAAACCCACCCTCCTCGTGGTTGTTCGTCTGGAGCCAGAAGACACAGCACAACGCGC